TGTTTTCCAGCAGGGGGCGCTGCAGCACAAACAGAACAAACTCCTGAAGCTCCTGTTTCCTGTTTGTCCTCGTTTGCAAGCTGTAAACAACAACAACAACAACAGTGTTGATTCTGTTGGAGTCACAGAGAGAAAAGTTTTATTTCACAATAAAACGTCAGAAAACGTTTGGTCACAGTGAAGCCGTCTGAAGGCAGCGCGGTGAAGAGAAAACATTCTGTTGGAGTGAAACAGTCAGACAGGAAACAGCTCAATAGCACCAGACACTGAGGAGGAAATACTGTACACTTTCAAAATAAAAGCCCAAGGTCACTTCAGTGTTGCTTTTGAGGCACTTTGGTGTTTAACGGAAACGTTTCCTGAACATTAACGGAATCATTTAGAGAAAACAAACGAGGCTTTTTGTGTTCAAGTGTTAAAGAAGCTGAAATAAAGACGATTAAATAAAAACATTGAAAGTCGTAACAATCAGGTCACAAAGACGTTTCTAACTTCTGAGTGAATTCTGTCGTTTAAACAAACGAGAAATGTTCAATGAAAAGTGTGAAATGAAGAAACGCTGCGAAATCTTACGAACCAGCTGAAGGAGACAAACGACTGAAAATCAGCTTAACATGAAAAATAAAAAACCTGAAAGTCATAAATACACGCTGTTAAATACTGTCGCTACGTAAATGTTTCAAAAACGTGTAACGCTGATATTTTATTATTATCTCAACGTTAGTTCCTCATTTCCTGTAACTTTCTGACATTAATCTTTTCTTTCTGCTCGACGTTTTGGTTTCCTGGTTTATTGATTATTTGGTAGAAATATTTCGACGCCTTTTTGCTCCACATGTTAAAAACAAACGTACAAAACTTGAGGTCATCATGACGTCATAGTTTCTGGTTTATCTTCTGCGATACGTGGTTCTGTTGGAGTGTTTCTGTCTCCTGTACAACAACTAAAACGTCTAACGTCGTTAATATTAATTAGTCTTTGTTTTCTCCCTTAAAGACGTTAAA